TATTGTTTTGTGCTCTAAATTGGTCAGAAACGCCTAACTAATAAAAAAGTTTTTTTTTTCTGATTCAGGAAAACATCAAAATTTATCATTGCAGCTAGAATTGCGAGTAAAATGCTTCATATAAAGTATCAATCAATCGCTGACATTTTTTCAAGAATTCCCGAATTCAAAGATTGTGCTTGCATTCTGCAACAAAAACATTAAGATCACAGGATTGCTGTCACCTAGAAAATCAAGAGTTTTTGAAACCTTAATTTGTAGATTTTTAAAAAACCGAGAGCAACTCTCTTTCGGTCTTATTTCTGCGGTTTTACCGATTGGGGCATTTTTTTCAAATCCTGAACAGTTGTTAATACTTATTAATTAATAGAAAAATCTGCTCAATTTCATCTTGAATCGTTTTTATTTCATTTTGAAGAAGGCAATCTTTTTTAAAAATTTCAAGACCTCGAAAAAGTTTTTGTTGATCTAAAAAAAGATAATATTCTGTAATTTAAAAAAAAAGTCTGCTTTTTCCGAGAAAACTTTAGTCTACACCTGCCTTTATCAGTTGACGCCAGACGTTGCTGGCTTAACCTTTGATTCCAGGTGTTTTTGAAGAAGAAGAAGAAGAAGAAGAAGAAGAAGAAGAAGAATTAATTTATCAAAGTTACATACTTTTTTTCAAACATTTTTCAACACAAATAACTGCACTTAACTTTGAAAGGATACGTAACGAGATCAGCTGATCTGCTCCAAACCTACCCTGTCTATTTAAAAACAACGAAATGAGTATATATACAAACAAAAAAAAGTTCCCAAAAAGGATCGAACCTATGAATCCGGCGGTGAAGCCCGGCTATTTACAGCTGCACCATTGACGGTACGAACACTTTGTGATTTGGTAAAAAAACATTCCGAACAAGTTCAGTTGAAAGTTAATATAAATATTTATTTTTCTTTTCACCCTTTTTCTTTCTCTTTTTTTTCTACTCCTATTCTGACCATTTACCTTCTCTTACTCATTCTAAGCTTAATATCCCTCTGTTAGACTTAACGCAGTAAGCTCCTGAGCACTTTTTACCCTTTTCTTTTTTCCCGGCTCGCGCTGTGAATGGAACCCATGATCCCTGTTGTCCCTGTCTTTTATTTTATCTCTGCTTATGTGAATATATCATTAATTAATTCTGAATTATTTTAAGGGTAAGAATTCTTGTGTTATATAATGTAGTTTACTCAAAGATAAACACGACGAGTCTGTCGGTCAAAACTTAGTCGTTTTGAGGGTAGTAGACATCTTTATAGATCTTGATCGTATGGGAGATTTTTACAGCTTTAATTTTGAAGGGGGTTAGAAAAGCAGCTCTTTAATTGATCTCCGAGTATTTAAAGCATTGTTCTTTTAACAAAAAATCATTAGGATAACTTTTTGCATGAAATTTGTTTTTCGACTTCAGCTAAATTTTGAGTAGTTTGAAAATATAAGCTCATAGACTGACAAAAGTTTTTTTGTGAAAAGATTATATGGGTTTTCGCGGCGCTTCGGAAAATAAATAAATTTGATAATATTTTTTGTAAGAGGAAAATAGGTTTTAGAGACGAGTAGCTACAACAGCCATATACAAGAACACCGTATTGAATCAATGGTTTTATGTTGGAATTATATCAACAGATGAACTGATCTCTAGGAACAAAATGGCGAAAATTACAAACGATTTCATTTTGAGTTTCTAGTTTTTTTTTAAAACCTGTTGAATTTGTCTATGAATTGATAGTTTGGAGTCTGTTCGAATCCCCAACTACCTCTAGCAAGATGCAATTTTAACATCTTCTTGATTGATAGAAAATGATTGGTTTAAATTGGAAGCACATAATCCTATTTTCAATTGCACTGTTTTGTCCAAGTTTAAGGCAGGTTTGTTAGCAATTAACCAAACACTTATATTTTCAAATCAGTTTGAACTTCTAATGCTGTGCAACCTAGTGTCGTTTTGTATCGTCTGCAAGCAGAAACACCTCAGTGTTTTTACATGCATTAGGAAGATCGTTTATATAGATAATGAACAACAAAGGACCTAATATTGAGCCATGTGGCACACCGCAAACATTGTGTTTCCAGGAAGAACTTGTTCCAGACATTTCTACACGCTGTTGACGAGTACTTAGGTAACTGCTCAACCAGTCTGATGCTTAGCTTCCGTAAAAATTTATCTTTTTAATTAGCAATTTATGATCATTAGCATCAAACGCTTTTTGAGAACCAAGAAAAAGTTAAATACTTTGCCATTTTTTCATGTCTGAACCTTTCAGTTAGCTCTATTAAGGCATCAAAAGTTCTATGCATCTTCTTGGGTCCAAATTGTTGATTATGCAACTAATTGAGTTTATCGAATCATGCATATACTCTATTGTACATTACTCGCTCATTATCTTTACTCAAACAATTCAGTATTGCAATTGGATGATAGTTTTTTTGTCGTTCTTTGATTCATTAATGAGCGAAAATAAGAATTTGTCATTTACTTCGGAGAATTTCTAAAATGAGTTATCGGTGAAAATTTCAAAGCCTTCTTCCAATTTTTGCTGTATTGGAAAAGTTAGACTGATAGGATAATGATCAGAAAACTCTTGGTGTTCAAGGAGAATTACTTTTGCGTCATCTAAATTTCTCATTGCAAAATGATCGAGGCAAGTTTCGGATATTGATGACACTCGGATTGCCTCTTTCACAAGAGAATCAAAACCATATGATATTAATGTGTTCGTGTAATTTGCCCTGATCAAATTGGTTTTTAATATAGATTTGGATAAAAATGATGAAAATGATTCATAATTGGCATACAATCTGTGGTATTTCTCGAGAAAGGTATTTCAATCTGTGGAATTTTAATCCGCATATTTCTCTAGAAAGGCACCTAAACTTTCTAAACAACCGTGTTTATCTATTTTTGGAGGATTATATATTACCGTTATGACAAATAGGAAACATAGGTGTGAGATTTTCACCGATAAAGCCTCTTCAATAACTATCGGCAACTCTTCAACAATGTTGATCCCCTTCAGGGCTTGAATCGTTACAACTCCACCGCGCAACTCACGAGAATTCACCCTGCATTGATCATAACCTTTTATCAGTAAAGCGTTGGAATCATCTTGAGTGTTTAACAAGGTTTCAGTTGTACATAATATTGACGGCGGAGAATCAAGACAATATGTGAGTGCTTGGAAGTTTTCAACATGTTTCTTAAGGGACCTAGCGTTAATGAGTAGCACAGAAATTACAGCAGATGTATTTCTAATCAGATCCATTTTCAACTGAAAAGGGTGTTTCCTTGAGAGGGGATGAATTTCTAGCTACTTTAACGGCAGGTTGAATAGCACTAGCAATGGCTGGAACAATAGCATCGCTTAAGTCATTAAATAGATTACTTTGATTTGTTTCTTCAAGTGGTTAGAGCTTGATTTTTATTTTTGGTCGGTTAAATAATTTACGGTAGTGTCTGCTTCCATTAGTGATTCTTCCGGATATTTATCTGCTACGCTAGAAAAAATTTAAGCCCATTACTGGACTTCACTTGAACGGGGTCTTGCGAGAAGTTATTGGCATTACGGATGCATATATTTTGTTTGTGTGTGTAAAGTGATAATCCCAATTGTCTAGCTTCTTGTTCTAATTTTCGGTCTCTAGGGACTAGGCATTTCTCGATCATGATAGGAAGTTTTTCCAAATTTCGAACATTTTTCAGCCATCCTTTCCTTCTAACCCTATATCTCCGTCCGCATGAAATTAACAATCATTGGTGATCGTGAGTTATAACTCAAAGGGTGACAGACGGCTATATTTTTGACGCTAAGATTGACATTCAGATAGTGACGCATGAAATTGAGTATGTCTGATGCCGGGTGTTCAGCATAGTCAAGGTTTAAAAAAAATAAGCAACGCTTTCTTGAATATTTCTCTACTTCTACAACCCGTTCGGATAGTTCGTGTATATCGTTGGATATTTCAACAACTTCCACTCTTTTTTGACATTGTTCGTTTTCTAGAATTGCGGTTTTCCGTTGTTGAAGTTCGAGTACTTCAATAAGTTTTTGAAACTCTGTGCCTCTCCATCGATTCCGGTTTTGATTGATTCTTTGATAGGATTTATTTGTGATATAAATCATTTACATCTTTCATTTATGAAACTACTTAATACGTTTATCACAACAATTAAGTTTATCACAACCAAAAAACAAACCAACCCAAATTTTCTAGCCTCTACGCGAGAATCTAAAAACTTCCAGCGTATTGCTTTTTAGTTCTGATCATTCAGGGAATGGGAGGAAAAACATGCAATCAGGTTTGTCGGAAGTTTGAGTTACCGACATAAGGTTTGATGAGTTTAACAACGAGAGAATAATGCAGCTTGCTAATTTACTTCGCAAACTAAGTTTTGACCCAATCTTTCCAAATTTTTTCGACCCTACGCGAACATGAAAAAAGAGCATGCATATTTTTTTTCTCTTTTGAACGTTCAAGAAAAGAGAAAAATGTGAAACCTGGTTTTTCAAAAATTTTTGTTGGACGAGTTTGACAACGGGAGAATGACTAAGGAACGGGGCAAGTGCATTAGGCAGATGTAGCAATGAACCGAACTTCACGTGAACTAGTATTATAATTTACGGCCTCGTCACTATATTTACAAGGCAATCAGTGTTCGGCTCAAGCTTTTACAGATCGGGTAGCAAAACAACAGGTTTATTGCTTCATAGCTCTTTTGCTACGGCGGATTATTGCATGTCAACAGTTATAATTGCAGCTGGCTAATTGATACGCATGCTAATAGACGCTTGGTCTCCATAGGTTTCGTTAGATATGGATGGTTTTTAAAAAAGAAACTAACTAAACCATATAACAGTACAAAATTTGAAGAAACGTGACGTCCTAAATAAGGTGAAGCCTTTCAGAACAAATAACGTTTTAACCAAGCTGAATCACAATATGTCTCAAACTAACAAATACAATTCTTAGGCAGGCATTGAGTTAAACTGCAATGATTCGAACGCTTCTACTGTTTTCTGGTATTATTTTGATTCTTTTGAGTTTAATTTGTGCTCTGTTGGCAAATGCTTCATATGGGTATGTGATTCGAATAGATGATTCTGAGCTGTCTTACGGGCTGTGGAAGTTTTGTGGGGATGGCGAATGCACCCGATACAGTAAGTTGGAAAGCCTATTAGTTTTCCTAGCATCGCCTAAAAATTCGGAAAAACAATAGGTTTTGGAATGCCCAGAGTAAAAAAAAAAAACTTGATTTAAATTATGAATTCATTGTCACAGTATCTTTAATTTTTCTTTTTTTCTTGTATCACTATTTTTGCATTTTAGTGTTTTTTATTCATAAAAAATGCTTTTCCAATTGAAAATGCATTAGGGTGAGAATCAAAAAGACAAGTGTTTGTGGCTAAGGTACTTACAAACGCTTGACTATCGCTATGAATTCTGTTTAAAGCTATTATTGCTCCGACTTTCGTCGGAGAAATGCGGAATATCTATGCTTGTTTTTCTTGTGCCCTAGTTATTGCTGAAAGTTGAAATTAAATTGTAATTTTAAAATTGATCGCATACTATCTTTTTTTCGACTTTTCGCAGTTTTAACCCAATTTTTCAAATTTGTTTCTAGGAGAACTCAGCGACTACGATGGCCCTTTTGAGATCCGAGTGCACGTGGCCAGGGGATTCTTCATAGCAGATTACGTCATCAGCCTCATCCTTATGACGTCACTGGTGCTTTGTCTGTTTACAGAGAGAAAAGAAGCCTTCATTATAGCCACTTTGTTCAGTGTCTTATACGGTGAGATAAGAAAGGAAACCTATTTAGAGGAAGAGGGGATGGGTTGCAGACAGTATATCTCAGGGATTCGGCCCCTTGACTAGCTAAAGGGTCCCCCTGGGTTCTATTTTACGACATCAAACTGAAAAAAAACGTTGAAAAAAAAACCTCCGATAATTGCTTTACCTTTTTTGACCTTTTTTATTTAAGTCTAGAAATTTTTAAAATAAAATGGAGTTCTCATAGTGCTTTGGGACAGCACAAATTTTTTGAAAGTTTGTTGAAAAAAAAACAAAGAAAACAAACAAACATGAAAACTTTGAGAGCATATTTTTCAAAACAAGAACAGCAAGCTAAAGCTTCCGAACTTTTCAGTATATCAAAATCTTAGACAAAATATCAAGTTTCTTTAAAAAACAAGCCCCCGAAGTCGAAACTTGCCTCACTTTTCAGCCCTTCTGCTAATTGTGGCCAACATCTGCCAAACACTAGCCTACAAAACTCTCAAGGACGAGATCGATTTAGCACAAAAAGATGGGACGATACATCCGAGCGGCGATGATGAGGACAACGGGGAGTCTTACGGGTGGAGTTTTGTGCTCCCCTGGGTGGGGCTTGCACTAGCTTTTTTTGAATTGCCATTGCCAGTTGTGGTCTTGCAAGAGTATCGAGAAAATTGTTGGAAGTATTTTTGGAAAATGTCGAAAAACGACTTAGAATTGTAAACAAGATTGTGAAATTACTTTGATCATTGAGATCTTTCGCTCAAAGTTAAGATTTTAAAAGAACTTTATATAGGTATACTGCTGAATTTATTCCCCTTTTTTTGCTCTAAATTTTTTTTCACTAAATAATTAATCTTATTGATTTGATAATTAACTATCGATATTAAAAACCAACAGAAGTCATAACAAGATCAGAGGCGCCTGAGACCTATCTGTAAAGTTCCACGGCTATCTCGCGATGATATTTCATTTAGTTTCAAATGTAGTTAAGTTTACAGTGAATGGAATCTATATTGCACACAATTTATTATTAATCTGATTATGATTATGATTATAATTATGATTATTATGATTATGATTTTGATTATTATGATTATATTATGAATATTTCTATTATTATTATGATTATTATTATGATTATTACATCATTATTACATAAGAAAAAAATCTAAAATCAGAACTGCACAGATTTTTGATTCTTAACTTGTAGCATGGATGCTCAGGTCTGATCCAGATCTGTTCAAGTCTCGTGACATAAATATGTGCAAAATACTCATTAGAAAATTAAACAGACAAAATCAGGTCTGCAAAATCGATTGTCAGACTTGACTCACGCTACTGTTATATGTAATTCAAACAAAACATATTTATACGTGCTGAACTTTCCATCTCAAATTGGTTTGTCAACTAGCGTTTACTTGTTTGATTTGGTTACTAGATGTTCATGACAAACTACCCATAATTGAGGGTTGAAAATATTCAGGAAAGAGGGTGTAATAACTTGACCTTAACTTTAATTTTACATTATTGTTCCGACTTTCGATAGGAAAGTAACGGAATATTTGTGCTCGGGGTGGGTTTTTTTTCTTCAGACAAATTTCGTCTTTTTAACTAGCCATTTTTGACGGAATTTTTTATATCATTCGGAAGGTATTGTAATCTTGAGCTTAAATTTAAAAAGATATTTTACCTTTGATCATTTTTCGTGAAGTTATAGATAGGGGTTTAAAGAGTGACATTTTGGCCAACTTGGGACAATTAACGCGCGATATATTTCGCGCTATTAACGCGTAAGCGGAGATTTAATCCGTCTTATAAATCGTTCCAAATTGGTTGAACGAAGCTTATTTGCCATAATATATTTGCTACAAGGAACGAAGTCTCTCTTTTTGTACTTTGTATGGCGTGTGGGGGGATGATTTTCATAACAAATTTCAAATTTTATGAAAAAAAAATTGATTTTGTTTTATTTCATTGAAATTTTTAATGTTTTTACTGCTCCTTAAACCTTAAAGGCAGTCGGAGGATTCAGGGCTTCGCCCTGATACGAGCAGTCTTAATTTGATTTACTTCTCATTATAGTTCCAAGTTTTATCTTTCAGAAGGGTTATTTAAAAGTTGAGTCAATCGAAGATCAACTTTTATATAACTTTTGTGAGTGAACTTTTTCGTTGGGGGGAGGAGTCAACAGCCCCCGCGCTCCCCCTCCCCCTCTTTCCTCAATTCTGATTGCTAAGTTTTTTCTCCGAAGTGTCTATGTTCGTGACATCAATTTTTGGCTGATCAACCTCAAACGATTTTTAATGGCACCTTGAGCGCCTAACAAACTAATTTTTAGTGGGTAGCCTTTTTGGTTTTTATAAAAATGTGCCTGCGGTGCATTAAACTTTTTAACAAAATAGGGTTCATATTGTTTTTTTTCTGATTAAGTCATTGATATTTTTCAGGCACAACAGCATCATTTAATTAATTGCCACGAGGCATTGAAACCAATTTCATGAAATGATGAGGAAAACATTCGAAGTTCCTCTAATTGGCGAAAAGTTTTGATATATATTTTTTTTAATTTGAGTGCTCTTGTGAAATAAATTATGTTGTTATTCAAAATTAAAATACCATTAAAAAGTTTTTTCAGCATCAGAGTTCAACGAGTTGAGGCGTTTCTAAAGCAAATTGGATCAAAAATGATCTATTGCAGAGAGATGAGTCAGATCTGATCAGATCTGCTACAGAGGTAATTCAGGTCTGCTAAATGTCTGAACAGATCTGAGTCAGATCTTTTCATATCTGATCATAAGTCAATTGTCAGAGCTGGTCAGATCTGCACAGGGTTAATTAAGACATGCTGCAGATCTGATGCAGGCATGGAAACAATAAGATTTTACCCTAATAAGACCTGATTTTTGATTGTGAGCTTAGTACGGGTTATTATCATTAACATAAACGTTTGTTTTCTTTCAAAATTTAGATTATAAGATGATCAACCAAAAATTATTAAGACTTCCTTTGTGCATGAAGTCAACCTAATCGCTAGTTTCTCGCTTTTAGTTATCTTTATACAAAAAAAAAGAAAACAAAGAAGCTTTCAGAATGTTCGATTTTTAAACTCTTTCGACCAACCAGGGGCGGATTTAGATTTTTCTCGAAGGGGGTGGATTGTCAAAAATTCTTAGACAATTTAATTGACCTTTTTTGTTCGACCAAATAGATTTTCCGAGCTCTCGTAAGCTCTTAAAACACCGCGTAGAACGTATTTTGTCAGAACATTCTGCGCCGCAGGAGAGCTTTTGTTAAAACCGACCAAAAAAGACCACCACTTTCTATGTTTCACAGGCATACGCACATCCATGATCTGTTGCGCTCGTTGTTTGAGAGGAAGGCAATATTACCCAGCTCATAAAATTGCACAAAAATTGATCTAATTTTTAACGAGGCACACCCGTAACAGCAGTTCGCGCAAAGAGCTGAACAGCTCGGTCCTTTCCCTAGTGGATGAATCGTTTTGTTTTTTACTATTTTTTTAAAAGTAGTTTTGGTTCAATATTGTAACTACACAAGAGAAGAAAAAATTACTTACATTGTAGTCGGTTAATTAGAGATGCTTCGAGTCTGACAAAAATTATGGAACAAATTCAACTAAACTTTGGGATAAGAGACACTTGGGTGCATTAAAAGGTCCGATTTAAGCTGGGAAGAATAAATTAAGCTTTATCGATGCAGTTAAATTGATTGAAAATAGTGAAATGAATTTTGATGAGTAATTTTTTGCCGTAACCATCTATTTATGACGGGGTCAAAAAAGTAGAGTTCCAATCGAGAAATAATAATCACGAGCTTTAATTGTGGGATCAATTTGAAACGAGTAAATTGTAACTTTTGCAACAGAAGGTGGTGAAATGCTTAGTGTTCTTCACTTATTGATTTCGGGTAGGAGGCAGGAAATTGGGAATTTTCAGGGTCTGTTGACAGGGGCGGAAATGGTTGACTGGGCAGAAGTTACATCGACAGGTTATTAACTCTGACTAAGTACTAACTGGTAAGATGACAAAGCAGGTACTAAACTATGGCATTTATCCTGATTGGCTTAAGCCACTACCTGTCAGCCCCGTCAGTTGGCGTGTACTTTGGACGACTTAACGAGGGGATAAGAATAGGCAACAATAAAGTAGGAAAAGTTAGGTGATCAATGAAATAACCGACCTGATAGGTGCAAATCAGTTTTCGTATTTTTTGGTGTCATTATTTTTTCGGCCCAGCAATTAAGTAAATGAAATGCGATATCAGATTTACAAAAACAGAAAATCTTCTGATTTTTGTTTATTAAATCTGACTAAATATTGAAACATTAGAGCATAATAACTGTGTTACAGCTTAAACTAGCTTATACAATTCTATCTTTTTAATATCAAAGTCAAAGTTTTTTTTGAGTTTTTTCATTTCTGATTAGTGTAGGTATCGATTACGCAAAATAACAAAGCTGAAACGAAATTGGGTCAAATTGAAACGCGAGTGAATCTGAGCCCAAAATGTCGGTCGAAGAAATTCAAGAGCAGGAATGGCAGTAGTTAATACTTGCCTATCACTTAATTAGTACTGCGTTAACTTATCACTGTTAGCAGATGAAGATAAGTATGATGATAGAAAATGGGGAGATCGTAGGATTACAAAAATAATTAAGGGAGGGTCTTGTGGAATGAATGTTGTTTTGTGGGCATATTTTCTTGTCCTGGGAATTCAAGCGGCGTTTTTTGTTGAAATGTGTGAAAATGAGGCCATTAGAATAAAAGAATATGACGCGTTGACTTCATCTTCATTCAAATCACTGCGGGTAAAATAATTTGTTTATTGTAGAAAATTTCGAATTTCGATATCAATTAGATATTTTATCTGTGACCAAGTTAATGACGCAATAACTTAAATTGGCTTCGTTTTATTTTCAGCTGATAAAGTAGTATTAAAAATGTGCAAAAATGCTTCATTGAATACGCAAAAATCATTTGGAGAACCCGATTTACGTACTCTAGAACTTTGAATTTGGTTTGAAAAAGAACGATCCTTTTGATGCGTGAATAAAATGAAGAAACTCTAGATGTCGTTAATCATAGTACTGTCAGGGATCTTTTGAGCCACTCTAAGTTAAATTAGCCGCCCAGAAGGTAATTTTAATTTTCTTCGATTAGGCGTTTCGCTCCATTTAGCAGACTGGTCTACCAAATGACAAGCAGTCGCTATACCTTTCCTTTGAAGATCAATTTGGAGACAGTTGTGCAATGTACAAAAAAACTTTAGGTCAATGAGAAAAAATAAGATCTTAATTCATTTAAACTGAAGAGTCCCAGTTGTTATGAGATGAGACGCATTTAATGAAAAGGTATACTTTACACAGGGGCGGATTTTTAGGGGGGCGGGGAGTTGGACGCTTCTCCCCCTCAGCGATTTGACCCCCTGCCGACCCAAAGGGTCCCCCTTTTGATACTTTTTCAGAAATCCATTTTTGGCCGACCGACCCTAAAATTTTTCTAAAGGCGCCTTTGGCGCCAATATATACTAACTTTGAGGGGGAGCGCGCGCCAAAAAAAACGCAATTTTTTTGTCAAAATTTTTCAAAAAGTGCCCAAAAACGGCTTTTTTGACTGTTTTTTCAAAAATTTGCCTGCGGCGCAGAAAATTTAGCCAAAATAGGGGCAAAACAGTGCTTTGGGAGAGCTCGAAAAAATCAATTTGGTCGACCTAAAAAAAAGGTCGTCAAAATTTTGGAAAATTTTTTGAAAATCCGCCGCCCCCCCCCCCCTCGAGAAAATCCTAGATCCGCCCCTGACTTTACATAAAAATATCAGTAATAGATCCTGATTAAAACGCATTCCTGAACTGAATTTAAAGCATTATTGTTTTTAGAGGGGGTGTTTCA